TTTTTTTTTTTTTTTTTTTTTTTTAGAAAAATTACAGAGCAATCGTAAAAAATGGATCAGCTGAGAAAACAAATTTTGACGAACTTAGAGTTAGCAGAACACCATCGGCTTCTCGGAGGGAATAAGCGATTGCTGGAATATTGCCAATAGTTGGATTTTTGCCTTGGCGGGGTTCTTTTCAATGATTTGGGAATTATCAAAAAGGCCACAGGTCTACCCGCAATACCTACGCGGCGCTAACGGTTTGTCTTCGCCTAAGAACTTCAGAGTCAGTGTGCACTAAATTGGTTGTTTTCTCCTGAGTGTTCCATACATCTTTAAACTTCAGAAAGTGTTGGTTTTTGAGTTTTTTGTTGAAGCTGCGGTTCTAAGCGAGACACGTGTCGCGGGTGTTTGCTGATATGGTTTTCTTTGGCACAGTTTTTCTTTCGTTTTGATTTAAAACTTGTGTTGACGTTATAAAAACTGATTACTGGCTATATCTCACTTCTGAAAAGAGTTCAGTAAACTTTCACGCTTTTCGTGCTGACACTTCAATTGTTTTTATAAACTATTTTATTACTGTTTTTTTATCTTGTAAAGTGGTATTATTAGGGCGTGTGTTGCAATTTAAAACACTTCTAGTTAGGCGGCGCCGTACACCATAGTTTCCCGATTAGTGTGTTTACTATTGTTTAACAAACATAAAAGAGATTTGGAGGAACAACAGTTTGCAATCTAAAAATAACCAACTTAAATACATTTCTATTTTTTATACTAGCGATTGATCTTGAAAAGCCAGTTTTTGGCTTCTTCTAAAGTTGATGCATTAGGCTGGGAAAAGAAACCGACTGGATCGTTTGCCTAACTGTAGCGTTATAATGTTCAAAAGGGAAAAACTGATATTTTTCACTGGTTTGGAAGTTATCCGGTATGTTCAACCACAAATTGCTTTTAGCGTCTCTCATGTAGAAAAATCCAGTTTAACAGCGATTTGAATGTGAAGACCCTAACAACAGTGCGACGCCATTAAAATCGCTAGAGTTTTAACTTCTTTGCAGAAGCTCTGTACATATTGGTAATTCCATGAGTTCTGCAGAGATGTAATTTTTCACTATTTCGTTTTGTAAAATCACTAAGTGCGTTATATCGGTCATGTATTTTAAACTTTATTGCGTACTTATGTCAGTTATCGTTTAGTTTCCGTTATTATAGGGAAAAAACTTTTGATAAACTTTGAGTTTTTTTATGAAATCAGTGGTCAGTGCTTTTGCTGTGATTATTATAGTCTTCACGAGAAGCTTTTGTACAAACATAGTTGGGAATGGTTATGAAAAGGAAGATAGACGAAGTGTCCGACACTGAGGAGGGAGCAGATATTAGGAGAAAAAGGTTGGAAAATGGACTGGAAACTACAGATGATGAGGAACTAAGGTTTGTATCTAATTTTAAACAGCAATTTTTTTGTTTGTTTTGGGTTTCTCTTATATCTTCACACACGTGTCGTTTATTTGTAGTAGCAGTGGCAGTGCGGACTACACCAGCCGTGAACAGTCGCCTGTTGTTCATATTTCAATAAGTCGTGAAAGGCGATCTAATGCCGGGAATAGAATGGCCTCTTTGCTTAATGATATGGAGGAAGATGAATTTTACAAAAACACTTATGGAGGTGGATTTTTGGAGGTAATAGCTGCAGCCTCTTAAGTTCAGATTTCAATTGTGTATGAATAATGCAGAATTTTACTTTACAAGGATGATGCGGACGACGCGTATGAGTCTCCTGTAGGATCTGACCATGATGAGATCGACTCGGATTTTTACAATACGGAAGAGGAAGATGAACCGATCAGTGATAATGAACAAAGAGAGCGGCCAAAGAGGCGAGCTAAATACAGAGTACTGTTCCTAAATTGCTGTTTAGAACTTCTGATATTTAGATTTTTTAGGTGCAGTATTTCTGTCATGCCAAGTCTTTGTCATTCATATAATGGTTGTTTTAACTGTTTTAGATCTAATTTTGAAAGTGTGTGTGTGAAATTGGCAACTCAGAAATTGATATTTTTAGGATCTTAAACCTGGTGATTTCATGAAGCGCAAGCAGTTGTTAGATAAGAACCGAAAGTGGGTGATGGCTCGTATGGGAGGACCCACCGTAGCAGCAAATACTGTTAGTCCGGAAACGCAGGTGCTTTTTGGTACTTTCATTTTTAAATATTTTATTGATGAGGTTCACTCGTTATATTTGAAATTGAAGCTTTCATTGCTTTGTTAGTTTCCATTTCGAAATGGGCAGTGCTATCTTTTTTAAAATTATTTTGCATTATCATCTAGTCTATTTTTACAACAGGAGAATTTGCCGCCATCAAGCCATTTTTAAACTTTAGGCAGAGATGTTGGAAGAAGCTAAAGAGACCGAACGATTAAACATTGCCTCGTTAAAAAAGTATGAGCAGTACGAACTTGAACGGAAAAAGAAGCGTGAGAAAAACAGTTTAGTAAGGTCGGTGAAACCACCACTAATAAAAATGGTTGACACTGCTAGCGGGAGGTTCCTTACTTTGCCATCAGTAAAAGAGTTCAAAATGCCAGAAACAAAAGTAAGTTCTTCTGGACTTCCTATTAATATCTTTATTTTACTTCTTATACAAATACGAATTAGCGCTTATTCTTTCTTCAGGTCCGTGTTTTATGCGCCGTAACTTCGCGGCCAGCGAAGTATCGGGACCCGGTAACAGGGCTACCATATGCAGACGTAGATGCTTTTAAAAATATACGGCAGAAGTATATTGAGTATTTGAAGACAATAAAAAACAATTCGGCTGTTACAGCTTGGCTTGAAGAGTACGGTTAAAGACGTGTAGCCACAATTGTTGTTTTTCATTTGGGAGATACGCAGGAATATTTTGGTGAATTAATTGCGTAATTAATTTAGTGGTTTTATTTAGTGAGTGATATGATTCTGTTACAATTACTTACCAATCACACTTCATTGAATATCTTAACAGAATCAACCCTTTATCGTATCTCGTAAATAATGCGACGACGAAAATGAGTTTTAGTTTTGGCATTTGGAGAATTTCGGTTCCTAACAGAAATACAGCAGTTCAGATTATTTAGTCAAGCAGTAGAATCAGCAAATCGGACTTAGTTTGCAAGAAAACGCTGATAGGTTAATTTAGAAATTAATGTTACTTTCATAATCTACGCTTCTGCTTAACAATATCCGGAGAAGTTAATCTTTGAATCAGAAAGTTTGTTCAAAATCTATTTTCCCAATTAAGCTTATTGATTATTCCAAAAAAAATTCATGTTTAGCCAATAAAGTGCCTCTGCGGCACAAGCATCTTGCCATTATTCAAGACAAAATTATTGTTCCTTTAGGATGAGTAGATTTCCATTTTTTTCATTTCTTTTCCGCTTGTACTTGAAAACAAATCGAGATTCCATCTTACCCTTTTTGACTTCAACGGGGGTGCAAAACGCTTAGATTCGCATCTTTTATAGAGCTGAGTTGGTTTTTTTTAGCATTTAGGTAGTTACTCTTTTTTCAGATGCCAGTTTTTTCAGTATTTAGGGAAAATTCCTGCAAAATTTTGTACCGTGGAAGATGGCTTTTTTGCCTGCGCTGTGGAAATCATTCATCTTAATTATAGGGGTTTGTGAGAAGCAGTTGTAAAGGAAATATTTCCGTTCTTTAGAGGAACAAAAATTTGGTTTGGATGAAAATTTTTAGTCCTGGTCAAAAAGAGCTGTTTTTTCAAATGTGAGGGAACAAGTAACATTGAACATTCTTTGTACGCGAAACTTTTATCAAGACGTCATCGGTGGTAAGTAAGTTCTTGTGCTATAAAGTCTGTAATCATTTGTAAATTAGGCTGCACTTTCATCCATCTTCATACTCCATAAAGCCCCCGGTTGGTTTACGGTCTTCATATACAATTGTCCTATGCTTTATGATATTGTCATAAAACTACCAAATGTTTGTTGAAACACTGGTTTGTGTAGTATTTTGACTTTATTTGGATGTGCTAAGTGCTTTTAATGTTGTCGCATAACCCTCCATCCGTTTTTCCAATACCGACTTCGATAAGATAAGAATTGCTTCTTCGGTTTGCATTCCTCTTTGATGTCACGTGGTAGGAACTTTCTTGACCTTTTCTCAAATTGCTTGAAAGGGCAAAATTCCATATTTCGTGGACATCCTTTTGTAAGCCCCGTTATCGAGCGGTAGTTTCGATGGAAGGCCTCGTGAAAAAGGATCTAAAAGGCATTATCGTTGGCTGTTTGTATCTTTCACACAGACGCCGAACAAAATCTAACAGAATAAAGCTAACACTTGTTTAACAACTTCCGTGCATTATTTGTTTACATAAATACCTTTACAGCGTAGCCAATTCCATTTTTTTCCCATAACTCCAGTGCAACAGATGCAGTGTAATCTGGTAGTCCCCCTACAATAACTTCTTCTTCATCACCAAATGTTGACAGCAACGCAGCTATAGTAGTGTCGTGCTGAAATTTGCTCTCTTATTAATTCAGCTCCTGAGTGCGTGAGAAAGGAGGATGATTAGGAAATCCGTTCGTATAATTAGTCTGACCTTACGGGTAAACGTTGCTATGGCAGTAGAGTGATTTCAAAAGTGGTGGAAAATATAGCAGGTAGTAACTGAGAACTTAAAAAGTTATGAATAATAAGACTCAAGTTCTTTGAAAATTGATAATTTTTTTAACTAACCGCAGAAAATGCGTAGTATTTCAGTGGGGCATACCAATGACATGGTTTCGCATTACTGTCTCTTTCGCACTCTATCTTCCATTTCATGTTGTCAATGAGGACTTTTAGTAGACTTCCTGTAAGGCCAGTCTTGTAAAGCGAGTGGAACAGGTTTGAAGAAAAAACTGTTTTATCCAGATCTCTTGATGTCCAAAATAACTGACTTGTTCAGAAAAATTGCATGATTCCAATTTGTAAGTAGCTTATTTTTGTCTGGTGACGAGTAATAACAGGAGTTTGTTGTTAAGAAATGCATTGGGTGTGTCCAGAACGTACCTCCACGTAGTTTGATTAGTTCGGGGTAATACGGTTTAGAAATCCCAAGTTTGAATTCTTCATTGATCCGAGATAATTTAGCAACTTTCTTTGAGACTTCTTCTGTATACCAGTCCGGTTGAGACAAATTATATTTTGTCTTAAAAAACTGTTTGTTTTAAAATCTACAAAACACGCTAAATTTTTCTTACTACTTATAAAAAATGTCTTTTGAAGATTATATACAAAGCGGTTTTCTTACTTTTATTTAAAAGTACCTCAATTAAATGAGCGTCGTTGATGAAGTAAATGTTGTCAAGCGTGACGTTCATACCAGCTCTGTTACTTAGAAAGTCAAGGAAGTCCTGAAGTGAAATGTTCAGTCTTATAGTGGAGAATCTCGGTTCCGATCCTACAGTAGTGAAATAGAGGTTAAAAATGACCACTGGAAGACTTCTGGTATTCATACTTTGTTCATTCTATAAGTCTGCTGATATTCTTCACTCTTTTTGACGGTTTCGTCAATCTGGTCTGCTCTCTCACATTTTGCAAATGCGTTTAGAATCTGGAATTTGTAATACGGAGAACTAATATTGATGAAACGTTTCGATTTTTTCTTTTTCAAGTGAAATATATTCATGCAGTAAAATTGTCGTACATGATCAGAATCGAAATCAACTGAGTGAATTGGTACTGGTGTCCAGTTCGACGGCCACGTATCATTCTTTGTATGCGGATAGTCAACACCAGGTGTTCCAGACGGATACAGTGCTGCAAGATTTGACATCGCACTGACAATTGTTCTGTTAACATCAGAACTTCTAACGTATACCTGAAAATTATATTTAAGTGTGGAGCATTGTCAATTTAGCTGTAAATGGTTCAGAAGCTTGGTTTAATAGAAGTTTTGAGGAATATTTTTGGAAATGGCAAACAATACTTTATTTGGATAGAATAAAAAATTGAACTGAAGCGCTGAGTTTTAAAACCCGTACTTCCTTCGGGTTATATTTGGGGGAGAGGAAGTGAAATTTGTCTGTGATGTATCGTCTTCTGATAACCCTTCCTAGAGCGTACTGCTGTTTCATTCCAAGCTAAATGAGAAAAGAAAGATGGCGACAGATTGTTGTCAGGGAACTCAGGTCATTTTTTCTAAGGGACCTGAGCAGGACCAGGATATTACCTCAGTTAGCTCGCCCCAACCGTAGTGCCATACAGATTCGTTGTATTTATCAGTAGGATATGTGCCGGTTGGAGCCCGATCTCCATGTCGCCAAACCTAAACAGCACTGTTACATCAAGAAAGTCAGAGAAACTACTGGAATGAATGTCAAATTTATCTAGTATTTTGTGGTCAAAAAACGACAGAGTGAGGCTTCTGTGAAAACGGTCAATTTTAAGAAAAACTGACCACTATTGTGCATTTCTACAAATGGTACCTTTTTATTGAAAAGTTACCAAAAGAGAAATGAAGTTTTTTTGAAATTTTATTTCTTTAGGATGAAAGAAAAACAAAATGAGTGGAATTTGGGACACATACAATTTGCAAAAAAATTAAACGATCTGCATAGCAGTGGCTGAGCAGTTGTAGCCAAAGGGCGGTAACCAATATACCAGTCATGAAAGAGTCTGGAATTATGGTAGTTCGTGAAAGTAAGCAGTCACAAATTTCTCGTCATAAATTTCTTACTATAATCATACAAAAGTCTAGCAAGCAGTATAGTGTAGTAAATTGACGATCTTAATTAAGCTCCATTCCCATCACTGGTTCAGAGGTTCATCATACGCGTCGCTTATCCAGTGACCACAGCGACGTCAACATGTTATTGGTTATTGGCGTCGCGATGGTCACTGGATAAGCGCTGCGTGCAATGGGCCCTTGAACTATTGATGGAAATGCAGCTTGTTTGAGACTGACAATCTATATAATCCGCTTTTTTCTTTTGTAAGAGAAGGGCAACCGACAGAGCGTCAGGTTAGAAGTTTAGAAGACAGCGACACTATAGCTGGTAGAATGCAAATTTTGCTGTGAATTGAAAATCAGTTTATTATACGCTGTAGGACCAAATGATTATTGCGTTCTTTTCTTTTGTGTTTGAAAGTTAAGTTTTCAGTTTGGATTTTGAGTGGTATAAATTTAATCGGCTTCAACGACTGAATATTAAAGCGACTATTGTTATTTGTTAGAAGGCGAGACAGTGGAACGGGTCTTAGAGTTAATTGATTTAGTTCTCAAAAGAGTCCAACTGAGACTGGCAGCAAAATGTTTGGAAAAAGAATTAAAAAACTATTAGAAGGAGAAAAAAAAAACTTAGATT